TTACATGGCGGTTAGCCAGTAGGCCATCGCGCCGGGCGGGTTCGTGTCGCAGTTCGCAGTGTGCGTCATCGGATGAAAATCGTGTCGACAATGTCGGAGGGCTGCAGTTGTGTGTATGCAATTCCACCCTTTTGTCGTGCGTCGAGCGCGCATCGTCAATGCGAGAGCGCGTTCGGAAAACAGGGTCGTAGAAAGGACGAAGAGCAACAAGAGGGGTTGGATAAAAGCTGGGGTTTGGCTCTCTAAACTCTCGGAGCGTAAAATGTCACCTGTAAAATGTGGCTCGCTGACCCTTGATAATTTTCCGAGCTGACTTTCGTCTGTTTCGCGCAGCCTCATAAACGATGAATCGACCAAGAGAGAAAAGAGGTGGCCCGAACTCGCGGCCAAATCGATAGGTTGTTATTGTTATGGTCGCGAAAATTCTCTCGCGACATTAATCGCGAACGTTTGTGTGCGCTTTCTCCGGGTATCGATTAGCCGGAATTTAAAACCTCGGGACAGAGGGAGAGTAAAGGAAAAAGGAGGGACAAGAAGACGGCAGTATGTGACCTGGCGCGATGCCATCGCGGGTAACGTACGGGATTTTTTGTCACGAGAGCGTGTAAATGATTATTGGATGGAAAAGTTAAGAAAATATATGCGAGACAATGGGAAACGAAGCGATCGCTAATGCTCTGAAGATCGCGCGCAAAAAAATACCCCGGGAAAATAAATACTCTAAAATATATATATATATATATATATATGCATTTCTATACACGCTTCGTAATTCAATTTAACGTTGATCATCATTTTCACAAATTTAACCTCGCGTAAACACACATCGGTCGATGCAGTAAATAATATAATCCGTTTTACGCTCTTATTAAGTAGCACGAAAATCACGGAGACATCCGATAACTAATTAGAAAAATTGATGCGTATACGAGAGATCGAGCTGCGAAATAAACAAATCATATTTATTTATATATATAATATATAACGATATATTTAACTATATATTTATCGAGATAAAATTTAGAACGCCGATCGATGATCGAATTGAATCAGTTATACATACTTTTATTGTAACAGCATCGTAAACGAAGAAACGCAGAAACACATTTTTCTAAATGTTTTAGCACGCTATTACACCTGTATTCTATCACGTTTATTTTTTTACGTGTCGCGAGAAAAGTTTCTGCAGCAGACGGCTACGGTTTAACCTTTTTCACGAGATAATTAATTCCGGCGAAATAGGATGGAACTTAATTCGTCCGAGTGACGATACGTCGCGGCGTACGCTCGGATAAACTAGTAATTATCTGGAATAATTGGACGCGTTCGGAAGTTGGATAATTTCCACGAATACACGGGGGACTGAACTTTTCGACGGCATTCGGTTCAGCCGCGGACGGCTTCACCCACGTATATACAATATAATAACGCGATTTCATCCGCGAAGAGAGGAAGGAACGTAAAAGCGACGCGCGCGCGTTAGATGAAGAGTGGCTAGAAACAGTGTGGGAGAGAGCTTTTCGACCTTTTCCGTTTTCCGCGTCGATGCCCAGGACTAGCTCGAGCGTGAGAACCAGCATGAAGAAGGTGCATTGCGGTGGAGAAAACGAGAAGGTCAGGAAAGACGGTGCGCGAAAGAGGGAGAAAACTGATTCGAGATATACGTCGCGCGGGCAATCGGCCTGTCATTTTGGCTTTAAGGGGCGCTTAAAGTCCTCGGTAAAATCGATTTGTTTCGCTGATGCTACGCGAGATTTGATGTGGCGTGAAAAGAGGGAAAGAGCGCTCCTATATAGACATTAATTTACATTGATCGTTTGTAGAGAAATACGGAGTAATACCGAAAAGCTGATATTCTTCTCGAAATATCGCGTCTTCCCGGGAAACTAATTTTCATATATAATTATATATAAATAATTGTATAATTATACATATAGTCGTAAAATTATATGTGAAATTTATGTCTATTTTATATATAATATTTATATATATATGAAGAAATATTTATTATATATATATATATATATATATACACAATTTATATAATTATATATACATAATTATAATTATGTACCTATGGACATATCTCGTATATAATTTTGCGATTATATGTATAATTTTATATGTTTCTATATAATTTTGTATCGATATATATATAAAAAATTTTTTCCCGGGTTTTCGAATCTTTCTTTTTCTTCGCGTTCACTGTGACTGTTTTTAGACGCTTTACATTTTAATAGATAAAGTTAACTCTCTATATTTCCTCTTTTTTCCCCTGATTATGTATATGATATTGTGAGCGTTGCGAGTTAAGCGGTGTAAAATTTTAATACGAGGTCAAATATTGAAAATGCATGAATCTCATTGTTTTATTACGAATTTGCATATTTATCCGCAAAATGTCAGATTCAATTCGTTAGAAATCCGAGAATTGAATTTTTTTGTTTTCGCGCACCAGACAGGCGCTCACAATTTTGACAGATGATTGTACGAATGACACCGACCGCGAATAATTTGTCATGTACAGCTTAAAGTAACGTTATTAAGCCATTAATTGATAATAAAGCGAGAATAAAGATTCGGTAATTCGCCTCGAATATACCTGGATATATCACGGCGGCAAAATATTTGCGACGTAATCCACGAGAGCTTATGCAGCAAAATTAATAATACAGTCTTTATTTTCTCTGTTTTTTTTTTTCCGAAGCGCGATAATACGCGCCTCACGAAGGATTAATTTAATTGCGAAGGAGATCGTATATGCGCTCGACTTTATTGCCAGAATTGCGAGAAATGATGATATTGCCGCGGCCCGCGAATTACGATTCGGTTATCCAAATCTGGGCGAGTAATTTCAGAAGTTGTGGGGATAAGCTGCTGACTAAGCCTTCCCGGGGTTCCTTTTTTTCTCCTTGCTCCTCGGACGTATTATGGATATTTTATGAAAGCATGCTAATGATATTTGGGTGATAAAAGTGTGCGTCATCTCTCGTAATTCGCCGTAACGAGTATAAAATTACAGGGGTGAGAGAATTCCCTTCTGTTATTGCGAGAGATTAATCGTGCGAAATTGTTCGCGCTTTCAAAGCGCGATTGTTATTATAAAGAACGATATCGCGCAGTTATTACGAAACCGTAAGTAATTTGCTCTCAGTGTTCTTGCAAAGTCCGAACGAGTGAAAAAATTGACCGTTCGATTGTTCTGCGATAATTCTCTCGCGTGCAAAGGGACGATCATATTTTACGATGGATTTCCAAGATAGACGTCGACTTTCATACAGAGAGATAAAAATTGTGTCGTAAAAATCCAGGATTAAACTTATCGACCTATTTTTATCAAAACTTCGCCTCAAATCAAATTCGAAATGATTCAAATCTCGTACGCGAAAGGGGATGTGACGTCGCCGCCTTGAATGAAAATGCGCTGACTCGTCTCTGGTAGACGTGAGAGAAAACAGGCTGCCGGGTAAAGCCACGTGGAAAATCTCTAACCCGACGGAGTAATTCTCCTTAAACAAGATCACTCCGTAAACCCTATCCGGATTGATACGCGTAATAAATCACGAGTTTGGATGGCAGGCGCAAGGTCGAAAAAGTCCCGAGATAGATCCTCGTCTTTCCTCACTACGCCGAACATCTTTCTCTCTCGACCATGGCCGATGTACAGTTCATCAAATTTCATCGTCGGCCCAGGTCGACAGGTGAATCGCGCTCGTCGATCAAATTCCAATTATCTCCCGCGCTAATTCAGGTTTAACGATTCATTTAATCGCGGCGGAGTAAACAAATCGCGGCAACGGAAAATTATATTGCTGTTTAATTGACTCTCTCGGGGAGAGAGAAAAAAAATATGTATATAAACAATATTTAGTGCGACCCAACTCGCATGAAAATATTTACAACGATGTAACTCGCCGTGTTTCTCGCTCTCGCTAATAAACGTACTTTTAATCCTACCGTATTGACGATATGAAGTTGGTTTATTACACGGTTGTTTATTTCGACGCCATCGCCGCCAGTTGTTTCCATAAATCTGTGCTGGTTATGTGTATATGAATGTGTGTCGCGCGCTTTGTGCGAAAACGTATTATAACACGCGCGAGGTATGAATAAATTGATAAATTGTATCGCACGCGGCTTTTTAATATTTCGATAAATAACGCGTCAACTACATAGTATTTGTATCTACAAGTCTTTTTTCTCTCGTTTTTTTTTTTTTTTTTTTTAATGGAATTATGCATATATAACGCGCGGCTTTTCCAGGGCAACACGCGAAAATTCTCGTCAAGCCTCCGTTTCGTTATGCAACCGTAACCGGGCGGGATTTTTTCCGCGAGGAACGCGTTGTTATCGAAAAATTTGGCCGCGTCACTGAAAATGCATAGGAAATGTTGGCCATGTCACTGTAACACGACAGCGATATCCCGGAGGATTCCCGAATGATCGGAGGAGCCTCAACGCGCGATGTCGGCGCAAATTAAATTAGACAAGTGAATTTTGCCAATCGATATTTCTCCTGACAATTGCCCTTTTTTCTCTCTCTCTTTTTGGATAATTTTTTCGACGGATATTCGACGTGCCACGATTCAACAGCGATTGAATTAATTAGCGAGAAGACGTCGCATTTTATCGCACGTATTAATTTAATAGCAACGTGTACTTGTCAAATAAATTGTTGAATTCTCATATTTTTATGCCGCGAACCGATGTGTTTAAATCTCTAGCGCGTAATAACTTTTATGAATGTAAATCTTGTTAGTTATCTCTCTAATTTATGGTCGTAAAAATGCAAAATTATGTTAACGAAGAGTGAGAACGTGCGATTTTCGGTATTATCAACACTACATAAGCTTTTTTCCTTCTGGAGAGACTGTTAATACAACTATTTGAATTTTTAATGACAGTCGAGAGTCGTATTTTTCTCCCCCTCACTAGGTCGACCGCAAAAAAATTTTCACCAGAACCTACGAATAAGGTCGAACGAAATATTTCTGTTTCAGCACGGATGGAGGAGGAAAAAGGTGCATCGAATGCGCAGATCCTTTGGTCGGCCTGTCAAGCCTTGGCTAGAGCAGTGAAAACCACGTCACCGGATGTGACGATCAGACCGCTGGATCATGAAATTAAGGCCGTCTCCAAGGCAGCACGTAAGTTTCTTGATTAATTGATTTTGAAATTGAAAAAATCGATGTTTTATTAACATAATGAGAATCAACGTGAAGAATAAAAAAATTATTTCTTTCAATTTTTTTGACATTTTATATCAAATATTAGCCAACTATATATGAAAGTGGCATTACAATATTTTGCATGCGCATTGAGGTACGAAAGAAAGCTCGCGTCGTATAAACGAAGAAATAGCGCGATGGACTTTTAAAGTAATTTCGCGCGGCAGGTATGCGGTTCGCATTGCATACAAAATACAACGAATACCTTCTAAAGTGCGCGAGAAACTTGGAGAACAGAGTGTGCCAGGACTTTACGGCAGCTCTCTGGAGTTCTCCGCATTACGGTCGCTCGTAATTATTATTACTTGCCTTCGTATATATACATCGTTATTACTATATTCGCGAACAAAGTAAGTTAATTCAGCGAACATCGGGTCGAATTAATTAAATCTACAAATGTATCGCGCGAAATCTCTCGCGTCGCCTTATGTATCTCCGGGACATTAAATACACGCGAATACGTACACGTGCTCGCAAAGTAGCGCAAACTAGTCGGTATAACTATATATATATATACCATATATATAGTAGATGAATAAAAACTTGAGAACACACACATATTTTCCGTGTAACAGCTGTGCGACGGTCGAGCAATTTATCTGAATTTTTAAGCTTAGTGTTTTATTCCTATGCATCTCTGTTATACAATATTATTTCATCTTGATGTTGCAAAATATTATTATTGGACGCATGTTTCTGCGCGTTTCATTCCTTAAAATTTGTTTTTATTATATTACTCTTATTATATTTTATTATATTATTTACATGATATTATTTGAAATAGTTCGAGATTCATATTTAGAATCTTGAATCTTGTTTATCGCGATTTAGATATACTTTTGGGTCAACGTGAAATACGGCATCTCGGAATCTCAATTTTTCCGGATTTATCGATTTGCTCTCTGACAAGAGCTATGACGTTAATTTGATTTGGATCGCGGCTTTGTGGAATCCGACAAAGAATATTCATCCGACGAACGATTTTTTTTTGCGTTTTAATCGTCGTCCAGCGACTCGCGCTTAATTCCTATGGAGGTGGACCGCCTAGTCGACTATTAAAGACTGGGACAATAGAGTCGACGACGACGACAGGAACCAGGAACCTCGAAGCTGAGCGCGCGTATAGAGTAAAGCCGAGAGCGAGTAGACTCGGAAGAGAGCGAGAGAGACCCCGGTCGAAGATTTACGGCTTAATCGGAAGCGAGTGTTCATATATAAAGGACCCTAGAGTTGGGCATTTCAAAGAGCTCGCGTCGGTCTGATGGAGTGCCGCGCACTTCGTGTTCATTAATTATTCCCTTACCGCGAACTCTCGCGCTTAATTGCGAGAAGTGCGTCTATAAATTTTTTGTTGACCGCCGCACTTCAATGCGCGTTTTAATTCCTTCGTCGAGGCGTGGCCCGGCCGTAATTTCTGCAATTTTTGCGGAAAATTTTCCGGCCGGAAGTGCACGCATCGACGAAAACGCGATGCGATCTCAGGGAGAGGGAGATATATAGAAGTGCAAATTTTTAGCCAATAATTTATTTTTAATTATAATTAAATAAAATGCTTGATCGAGTTACTTAGAGCAACGTTGACGGTTCGTTGCTTGTATATAGGCGTTCGCAAAATCGAGCGACGAGATATCTTCCTTATTAATATTTAATGAGGAGCGATTGTTAATACCACCCCAATGTAAACGAGCGATTATACATAGCGCATATAAAAACGGCTCATTATACACCATAAATTTGTACACGCGATAATCGCGATAACCGAATGCGGACCGCAAAGCCCGAAACGTGCGCCCGCAACGTTCCGCATATAAAGCATAAATTCGTTCAATGAGAGAAAAACATACAGTCGGAATGTTGTGGCTGCAGGCTAGCCGCAAAGCAAATTGGGCTACAGCGGAAATTGGTATAATTTCGAACAACATATACGCTGATTAATCTCGCTTGTCGAAAATCGGAGGAAGAAAGAGTTGGTCGAGTCGAACGAGAGGGCGAACAGAAAATCGCGTTAACCGGAATTTCAATTAATTAATTAAGCAAATTGGGCGAGAACTACTGGGAACGAGAGGGAAAAGGGACGAAATGAGAGAACAATTGATTCAGTTTTCCCGTTTCCTTTGATTCCAGCGAAGGAAGATCCTTTGGTGAGCGCAGCTATCCGGAGTATTCCCGAAGAGGCGGCCAAGAGAGGAGTATTCCCGGAGGACGCCCTACGCGAGAGATTCCTCAAGGTAATTATTGCGTTTCCGGTATTCTTTAATATCTGACTGCTCCCGCGTATTCGTTTATTCTACTCACGAGGCAAGTCTTGGCGGTTTTAAATTGCTTCTCGCGGCGGAATGTGGTTTGGATAAGCGAGATGTTGCAATTGTGCGCGTACAAAATTCCATTTGTAACATATACATATAATATATACGTATATGATGATAGAAAATTGTTAAATCGCGAGACTAAATTATTCGACGAAATTTCCGCTTACACGGAGCGTATTGCGTATCACGTGTGGAGACTGATGGACTTCTCTCGCGTATAATCGATAGCTTCAATTCTTCAAAGTCTGTTCGTTCATTATCTGTTGCTAGGTAGAGAACGTGGCGAGGAGGTTGGCCATGGTGCCCGAGGAAGGTGCAGCTTTGCCTATATATCTTCTTAGCTATCTTCAAAGTTTCCTGATCATCAAAACAGCCAATCCAATCCCGAAGAAGGAGCTGGAGGACGAGCCAATCGATGTAAACTCTTTGAATACGTACGACATACTTCAACGTGCCAGGTAGGATCGCTATTTCGTTCATGAAAATCCCACACGGAAAAAAAGAATTAGCTACCATAGCTAAATTTTAGCTGTCCATATATTACACATGAAATTTAGTTATCATGCCTAAATTTTAGCTATGACAGCTAATATTTTTTAGCTTTTATGGTAGCTAATTCTTTTTTCCCGTGATGTGATGAAATCCGAAATCTTGTTGCCTTTGACCACACTGAAAAAAAGTCAACTTGACTAAACCTTTCAACCTAAATATTATTTCGTTAATTGAACATATAAAATTATTTAAATGAAATATAACACAAATTTTTTCAGTGCGGGAACTGATCGCGAATGAAATAGAAAATTCTTTCACGGGTGCTTTGTTTTATCTCCATAAAAAATATCGATCGTATGCCTTTTCTTTTGCAAAGAATTCTGTGATATTTTCTCTCTCTCTCGAATTTTTTTACGGCATATAACGACAGTGTCGATGCGTCGACACAGGTGTTTGTCGTGTCTTAAATGCGCTTCTCTTGTACTCGAGCACCAATTTCGCATGTCACGCAAGCCCTTTCGTCTTTCTCTTTCTCAGCGACTCTATAAATTATCCTTTACGAGATTCTAAGGGCCGGAGAGAGAAGGCGACCATCGACGAAGCGAGAAAGACGAAAACACCCGCCGTACAATATCCGTCGCCTGTACACTTTGACAAAGAACACTGCCATTTACTACTCGTCAGGTTATCCCCGACAAAATCCGCCGGTAGCGAGTCATTTTACCCACTTATCCCTTCGTTCTCTCTTTTTCTCATACCACATACTCGTTTGGTTTTTCACAATCCTGCTTGAAGACGCTCTCGATTTATGAGAAATGCTAAATAAGAATATCCAGTATATCCCGTTTTATATATTGTGAACCATTTTCTTTTTAGAAAAGATACATTACACATTCTAACGAGACATTTTGTATATTTATTACACATTTGCTTACAGTTTAAAATATTTATATTGAAAGCGATGTGTGTAAAGCAAAACATCGGTGCGCGATTTTGAAATTCCCTGGAGAATCCGTCGTTAAAGTTTCATCCTGACGATAGAATAGCTTCTATAGTTCCAAGGGAGAATACAGTTTCGCGGCACGTACCGGTGCAAGCGGCACGTTGCTTTCCGAGAGAACTTGACGTTTTCAAAAATTCGTAAAAGTGGCGCCGTGCGTTTTCATTCCCGTGAAAAATTCAATGCTTAATATTTCGCTTTAATCGCGAGAAGCCGCGGCAGCGGAAAGGCCGTGAAAACGCAAGGAGGTAAAAAGGGATAAGGAGCGATAATGCGGTGGCGCGAGATGTTGCGAGGAATAATCTGGAGGGATTGCCGCGAAAGATAGTTTTACATACTTAAAAGCGCTTCTTCTCTCGCAATCCCTTGTTGTTTTCGCACGTCGAGCTTCTTCGCCGGCACGTGAGATATCGAGTGTCGGCTGCGAGAGAAAAATAGACACCCCCTTTCGCGAAAATAGACATTCTCGGCACGTAAAAATTTACGATCCCTTAGCTATCCACCACGCGTCGTTATCGTTATCTCTCTCTTTCTCTCTTCTTCTGCAAATTAAAAATATATTATTTAGGGTATTTTGCGCGCGCGCGCGAGAGAGAGAGAGAGAGAGAGCCGACAAAGTGTTTTTCCGCACAAAAAATGCACGTCAAAATTTCATCATCGACGTGTGAAATCTAATTTTTATTCGAGATACACGCGACGAGGTGCCCGAAAACAGGAGAGGATGCGCAAAGTCCCACGAACAGCCTCCGTTTTGCGGTCGCAATTTGCGAAATTAAATGTAACTTAGTGATTCAACTATTTAATTAGTACGTAAGAGATTGTCAAATAACACGTAACGTGTTTTCGCGTAATTTCCTAATTACATAAAACGGAAACTCGTATAGATATACCGTTTAATTACTCCTTTAATCAGAACTACGGTGCAATTTCAAATTGCATTCTTCCTCTGTCGCTTGTCGGAATAAGAGCGACTTCCCGCGATGAATATTTAATTATTTTTATCAGAATACTTTTTATTTTCTTCCGACACTCGGAATCTCATATGCAAATCATGACCTATGTATTATTACGAGAACAAGAATAATAAAAAAAAAAAAAAAATGCGGGCTTTATAATAATTGGCGATTTGTGCAATATAACTTACATATTACATGTAGGTGATTCGACACAGTCTATGAACGAACACTTGTAAACCGAAGTGTGGCGCGGACTGGTAAGCCTTCTGAATTTTTAATTTCGAGGCGCACTGCGGTATGCACACATATACGCGCTCACACACAGACAAACACACGTATACTCTCTTTTAACGCCCGCGGATAAAACTCTCGGGCTTTCGAGAGTGCACCGCGGCGTATAGTCGATATATCACGTGCAGAGATGTACCTTTAAGAGATTTCTCGGAGATATTTAAGAAGAGGAACCTTTGTCTCGCTCGGCAAATGAATATTTAATCGTCAAGATGGATGCACTCTAAAATTTGACCCCTTGATGGGCGCGTTTATTAGCCGCGAACACGGTTTAGTTGCGCAAATGTAATTAGGTGTTGCTTGTAAAATGCATTAACGGCGTGTTTCGTTTTGCTCGTTAACTTTTAATTGTTTCAACGAGGATTAAATAAATATCTCGTATATGTATATACGAGAGAATGGAGAGAAGGAAATTAAATTCTTTTCTCTTTTGTTACTTTGAAAACTTTGGCAAATTTTTTCCTCGAATGTGTCTCATTTTTAGAATGATCGACAATCTATAAGTCCTGCTTGTCATGTCAGTCTAATAATTCAACTTATTGACGAGTCCGTAAATATCGGACAGCGAACTGACCTGTAACATTTATTCCAAGAATGAGGTTTTTCCATTAAGTCGAAAGAAAAACTTTAAGTTCTTTGTTCAGGTTTTGTTCCGCGATATTTTATTTTAGCGGATATATTCAATAATAAGTGAACTTTTTCCTTTGTAATACTGAAAAAACTTGAAACGTAATCAAGCAAGTTGTACGAGAAACTCTTTTATTAATAATACTGCCTTCAGTATAGTCAAAGATCGTCTTGAAAGCGATAAATTAGGAAAAGATTATAAACTAGCGTCAATCATCATGTCCTTGTCAAGGTGTCTTTGAAAAATTTGGAATTTTCAAGGATTCTTTCTATCTTGAAAAATCGAAGAATTCTCGTGTTTGGGACTCAGAAAATTAAAGAAAATTCTCTTTGATAATTTTGTTCTTATATTGGAAATAATCAACAATCTGCCAAAGTATTATAAATATAAATATATATATATATATATATCTTTATTTATGCAATACATATATTCAATGGCATAATAAAATATTGAATAAAGTATATTTTTGTTGATAATTTTTAATGATAAAAAAATTAAAATGTTATCAGGTGAAAAATTATCTTATATGTATACGAATATTATTTTTAAAAAGTTTTTTTAGTATATTTCCAAATCTAGCACTTGAAACTTAAGTAGACATTTGCCTTTTGTATAGGTGAAAAACATAAACAGATTTGGAGAGTTGCATTAAAAAAAACCTTGAAACTATTGTCTTTACTTGGAATTTTGAAGAGAAACACCTGAAAGAGCAGAGAAATTTCAAGGAATTTCCTTACAAGATTTGAATGGGCACTCTAGTTTGAATCGAGTTTCTTTTAATTAAAATTAAAAATACTAAATTTTTTTCAACTTATTAAGATGTATCTTAAGAGGAAATTAGAGATGTCTTGAAAAAAATTATATTCAATTCATATATAATTTACATAGAAAAAAAAAATCTTAAAACTTCCTTTCACGTTTGATCTTTCTCTGTAATAGAAGAAGAAAGAGAAAAAGGTATTTCTTAAGGAAAAATTAATTTAATAAAATCGATTGAGAAACTCGTAGATACAAAGACGAAAGTGCAAAATCACTTCTCGCCTCGTGTGTGATAGTTTAATCAAAATTATTACGAGAAGTTCGATATCACACACGATTGATCGATCAGCGGGAAGAAAACTAAACTTACCAGCGATCTTATACGGCAGGAACACGTGCAAGAAAAGCGTAGGATTTTCTTAACAGAGGTCTCGCTCTCCTGCGAGACGAAAGCTGAGCGAGAAAGTTACGCGATATCGTCGAATATGAAATCCGAAGGCAACAAGAAACTTTGAAATCCGCGAGTGCGCGTCCGTGCTTCGAATTAGGCCACTATGCGAACTGCTACGTAGCAGGATTGATTTTATAAGACGAGGGAATGGAGAGAGAGCGGAGAGATAAACGTTCTCTACGTTCCATCTCGTGTCTCGTAGGATTTATCGTAATGAAAAAGTAGACAGTAGTAGAGACAGACGGTACAGTTTCCGCCGGACATATTGTCCGCGGCTCGTTAATCTTTGTATTTTCCTTAAAAGCTGCATGCTTTAGTTTTGGTATACGTTTGGGCGTGTCCCAACAAGAGCGCTAATTAACAATCATCAGCGAGTTGAAAAACATTGAATACACATACATTATATATTATATACAATATATAATGTATAATAATGTATATATATATACATTATATATTATAAAATATTTTAAATGTTTTATTAATACACATACATTATATATTATATTTATTGCAAATGTTAATATTAATGAAACAATTTAACTATTATACATATAAATATTTAAATACATATATATATATATATATATAAAACGCTTGAAACACAGTACAATATAAGAAATCGCATAAAAGGAAAGATACTTTACAATACATACGTTTGAAAATCCTCTCGTATTACTTCGAAAATACCGGTCATCTTTTTCTCTTCTCGTACTCCATCCGTAAGCCGAGATACAACATTAATCTCTCTTTACTGTATCGGAGCGAGGCGAGAGACTCCGGTGTACGTGAGGTACACTTGACGTAAAGTTTTCAATCGAACGTTATATCCCGCATGCGATTCTTCCCTCGAAGAGATTCGCATTTTCGCGGGCTGGAAGAGAGAAGCGATATCGCGCCGGATATCGCCAACTTAATTCCAAGGACGTGAATAAATGTCTCGACCGAACGGTTTCGCGTCTTCCTCTCGGAAGAAGATCGCGGTTTCCGGCGACTGTGTGTATCCAATGTCGCCAACTATTTCTCTATATACAACTATCGCGGTCTCCCCGAAGGTATTTCTCCGAAAGCGACGAGAGAACGGGAGGTATGTTCTCGACATTTGTCTCGAAACTCCGAAACAAAGTGGCCAACATCCGTGTTGAATAACCATAGAGAAGTTCGGTCATAGACAAATCTTGCCCTGCGTCTCGATTGTTGCCCGCAAATAACGACCATCCTTCATTGTTTCTCCAGCATTCTATTATGCGATGAAATTAATAAACGATATAAATTTATTCAATGAAGAGAGAGAGAGAGGGTAATCACGCCTTTTACATATATCAAAAAATACACGGAGAGAATTTTCTCTTAAATGATAATCATGGTAATCGTGGGACAATATGATATATTGGGAGAATTTTATAAGAGTTTATCCGATTAATATTTATATCGCAATAAAAAATATTGATATGTGCGTATAGTAAAATTAATCGAACGTATTTTATATCTTGTTGTGGTAGATATTAAATTTTTTACGAGTGTGCGCGTGTGTATGTAAATGATATCTACGTATATATTTTAATTTTATAAATGCGCTTGAAAGATAATCTTTTAAACGCATAAAAATGAAAGATTTTGGTTGTCAAATTTTTTGATATATTGACTCCGCGAATTTGAATATTAAATAAATATTCAGAAAAATAGACCACAACTCATCTGATTATGAAAACATTAAATATAAATTAGTACTTGAAAATATAATCCACATGCATCGTATTGACTATATATTTACAGTGATACTTTTCTCCTCCCTGAAAATCATGGTAATCGTGGGACATTATGATGTTGGAAGAATTTTATAAGAATTTTTCTGAACAATATTTACCATAAAAAATATGAATAATCTACCGCAATAAAACATAAAACATGTTCGATTTTACTATGTATAACAAAATGTATTATAAATCAATTGATACAAAGTTTCGCTCGTATATTGTAAATACAACTAGTGATAGATAAAAAGGCCAACTTATCGAGCAATTATTAGAGTTGTTCTGTCAAATAAAATTTATTCCATGTATAAACTAAACATAAAACATTATGTAAAAGCTACAAACATTCTATACATTAACTCAATGAGGTTTGAAATAAGGTGTCTTTTTATATTGTTGGTCTTGTCTTGTGTCATCTTCAATAACTTTTTCAAAAAAACGTGGTTAAAATTGTCAAGAAGGACGATGTCAACGCCTACGGAACGTATTAATTTCTCGCATATTAACGATGAAACTTTTCGAGATTTGATTAAAATCAAAGATCATATCGAGGCGAACATTTATTGGATATGACGGATTGAAACACGCTTTAACTGCTTATAAATTCTCGACTCTCATTGAAGAACTAACATTAATTTTCGATATTATGTGGAATTTTTGTATGATTTTGTATTTTTTAATAATTACCGTAATATAATACTGAGGAAGACCGCGTGCGGTTGAAACGTTTATTTTATAATAATTGTAATTTTCGCTTAAGTTTGAATATAGAATGTTTAATCAATTTTATTTGACAGAACAAAAGTTGGCCTTTTTATCTATCACTAAAATGTATTATGTATGTATGTACATATTGACATACATGTACGTCGCGCTACCAGACACTTTGCTTCTATATGTCTCAGATATTGGTTGGACCGCGGCGATTTCAAGATGACCCTGCGATACATGAATCTGCTGAAGGGCGCGCCCAGAAGCATCGCCAGGGACTGGATGAACGAGACGAGGATCCTGCTGGAGACGCAGCAGGCGATCGACACCCTGCTGGCGTACGCAGGTGCGACCGGCCTCGTATATCTCGGCGCTGGAGATCCGCCCAAGGTCAGTGCACTAAGTTACGTAACCTCTTAAACAAGCTGCGCGATTAGATACGGTCTCACGACCACGAACGTGGCGGCGCAAACCGCCACGTTTCCACTGATTAATAGCCGGCCCGAATATCTATCTTCTCGCTTCTGTCTCTCTTTCCCTGGACAAGCGATAGCTCGCTTATTAAACGGCACGTTTCCCGTATAGCAAATAGCTTCTATGCACATAGTGATCTGATAGCAATTGCAGCAACAAGATTGATTATATTTATTTGTCACCGAGACATTTATTTATTGCGCGCACACGATATAGCGATATAGAACGGAATGTCTTTTCTTTTTTCTTTCAGCTACTAAAAGTCGATTGGCTATAATTTTCTTGAAAGCATTCTTTTATCATATGTACATATATCGATTAATTTATTTGATGCTACTCCAATGCTTATATCCGCACGTGCAAGCGCATCCATTCGCTGTTGATGGTTCTTTATTGTGATCTGGGGATTCGCGAGAGCGTCTCTACGTTTCTTTGCGACGTTGTTCGAATTGTTCCAGCAGAAGTAAAACGGACAGAAAATCGCAGAGGAGACTGTCTCGAGCCACACACGAGGGAATGTCCGTGGAAGAACCTGGGGTGAGGGTGACAGAGGAGAATAGGGAGAGACAGATCGCACCGACGACGAGAACCGAAGGGAAAAACGAGAAAAGGAGGAACGCCGAGAGAAATCGCTGCCAGCCTTGTATAGTTACAACAATGTCTTTTCTAGCAATTAAAAGATATATAGGAATATATTGTGTGCCGGGAGAGGCAATACACACAATACAGTGCTTTTCTTTGCCAGTCCTCGAGGAGACCACCCATATCCTCATACGCGATCTTTGAACGGAAATATATACTCTCGCGCTCAAATTTTATATGTATTAACGGTGCGCTTTTTTAAACATTTTTTTTAAATATCTGTCAGGGTGTGCAGAAATTTCGGGCGAGTTTGAATGGGACAGTGATATGAAATAATTTATTCGATAAATATTTTTTTCGATTACATAACAAAATTCAGTTTCTTTATATTGCAGCTTTTTATATAGAGGGAAACTGAGAAATATAAAAATCGGTAAAAAAATTAAATTAATTTAATTTTTACTTGTATATACATATATCACTGTTCCGTCCAACAGCGAATCGTGTGTGACCGGGAGAAGGTGAGTACACAAAAGTTACCTTACATACATGCAGTGTAAATATCGGAGGCGGTGTAAGAAAGCATTTAAGCGCGTCCCACGTTTATTGCAGCGTGAAGAAAAGATGCAAGGTTCAAAATATTATCATATTTGTGTTCAGTGCACGCATTCGTTCGGAATTGCGTCGTGCCTGCAACTTCGATAATCACGTTCGACGGCTTGTTGAGCCGAGCTCTTCTCATCCTGATCCATCCATCCATCCATCTGCCCACCCATCTATCCAGCCATCCATCCATCTCGATAGTACCTTTTACTTTATAACCGGATATTACTCTCCCGAACTCCCGAATCACATCGATCGGTGTCACGTGCCGTTACCTCGACTTTCGCTTCTCCCATACGAAACCTTCGCGATTTCGGACGGGGAAGCGTGCTAGGAATTATTGTAAAAATTGGAAAATAAAGTTGTTTCGTGACGTAACGAATGTGTCGTGTTGATCGATCTGCGAATTACCGAGGTAACCGCCTCCACCGTTCTAATCCTTCCACAATAAGTCAGATACGGCATTTTCGGAAAAATTATATGTTTACAATATTGTATCTTAATTCGTATTATTACCCTCTGTCAATAGGTCTATAGGTTTGTTCCAAGTGCAATATTTTCGATTAATAATTAAAATTTTTTTTTTTCTATTTTAAATTGGACGATTATTATAGTCACAGTCGCAAAGCGAATTAGCATATCTCTGTGACATTAATGGGCGAATGAAGATGAATAGACGCGAGTCGAGCATTCGGAGAAATATTTTACTTGTTGTTTTAAAAACAGATCAATACATTTCTTCGAATTTTGTCTCAATTGAAAAAAAGCAACGGTATTATTCCGAAGTAACGAACGATGTAAGAAGAGATCGGTATATTGAATCGTTTGCTCGAGGAAAGAGGTCGTAAATGGCCTCGAAATAACGTTTGCCAGTTCACGGAAATATCATTGGCCGCTATTATGTCGCTCGTAATTAGTCGTCTGACTAGGTTTAATAGGTCATCGCGACGGTGAAGTATACATCTATCCGCTGGAAAACTCGAAGATGGATCCGAAGTATAATGATGAGTAACTTGTCCGCTGCAGCCACGTTCGATTTTCGAATAATACTTTTTTTGCTGTTGAGAAAGTAAATAACGATCTTAATCTAACTTTTGAAATTTTTTCCAGCAACATTAATTACCATTCACGTATTGATTTAAACTTTAGAAACTCTTGTTTGTAGTAAATTGAGTGCGATTTTTTGTTTCAACAATTGTTGATATGATATTAATGTCAGATAATATTGCAACGTGATAATTTAATTTGGTTGCTAATTTAGGTCGAACGATGCTCATTTACAGAGAGAGGTATGTATATAATATATTTATCTGTGATAATATATTCCATAATTTCGCGACCATAACGTTAATTAACAACGATAATAATATTCTGGTATAATAGCCGTGCTGCGAAAAAACTTCTTGTCACTTGGAATATCGAAGATTTCGCCAAGTTTTTATCGCAAAGTATTTAGCACACTCCAGCTTTGTTTTGTGATACAAATAATAATTCTGGAGGTTGGGTCGTGCGGTAGAGAGCGAGAAAGAGAGATAGAGAGAGAGATCGGTGACCGCGAATGAGCAAGGATAATTGCGTTAACTAACTAACGACGCGCTAATGGCACTCGTGGAAGAACACGACGGCTTGGAGCTTCGTTACAGAATGTGTCGGGGTGAAACAAGGTACAAACTATGACCCGAGATCTCGCATATATACGTGGAATATAGGATGAGCGTAAAAAACGTGGATACGATCAACTAATTCGTACCTGGAATTTATTGAAAATATTTTTTTTAATTATTTAAATGCAACTCAAATTTACGGAGAACAAAAAAAAACAGAAATAATGCGCTTTAAAGAGGAATAAAAAAATTCGTGATCAACTAATTTGTACCTGGAATTGATTGAAAATATTTTTTTAATTATTTAAATGCAACTCAAATTTACGGAGAACAAAAAAAAACAGAAATAATGCGCTTTAAAGAGGAATAAAAAAAATCGTGATCAACTAATTTGTACCTGGAATTGATTGAAAATATTTTTTTAATTATTTAAATGCAACTCAAATTTACGGAGAACAAAAAAAAACAGAAATAATGCGCTTTAAAGAGGAATAAAAAAATTCGTGATCAACTAATTTGTACCTGGAATTGATTGAAAATATTTTTTTTAATTATTTAAATGCAACTCAAATTTACGGAGAACAAAAAAAAACAGAAATAATGCGCTTTAAAGAGGAATAAAAAATTCGTGATCAACTAATTTGTACCTGGAATTGATTGAAAATATTTTTTTAATTATTTAAATGCAACTCAAATTTACGGAGAATAAAAAAAAAACAGAAATAATGCGCTTTAAAGAGGAATAAAAAAATTCGTGCACCCTGAAACCGCATCTCTGCACATATACAAGCATGATTTCCTCTCGTTTGAGCGTTACATGCGAATTTAGAGAGGGATGCGCCTTTGGGTCCTCGTATCCCTGCGGGATAATAGAGCCACCGCAAGCGACGTATTTTTGCGTAAAACATCGCTTTGCGTTGTTTTGCTGCGGCAAATAAAGATCTAGAGGGGTCAGGTCGGATAAAATGCGCGCGCAAAGACAACCAGGGGTCGCGCTAATTGGGAACGTTAATGACACTCGCGGCCGCTCCACTTTAATCTAATAACGGGTAGTCCGCATTGTAAAGGAATAATCATCCCGCTTGTCCCTCGGGCAACGCCAATCTGTCGAGGAAAGGGAGGGAAAAAAAGATTTATACCTCGGCCGAATGAGCGCTCCTACGAACGTTTCATCGCGCGACACAAAGCGTGGTTCAATTAAAAACCGTCCGACATATAAAGACGCAATGCAGGTTCTTTATGTCGTAAATTTCATTCGGAACATGCAAAAAAATCACCGACAGATTTGCACGATTCTTTCTCCGTGTATCGCGAACTTGATTCGACAAATGGATTAAAATGCGCCCTAGAATTCGAACAGTGACATTTTTTTTTTTTTTTTTTTTTTTTGCGAAAACAAATATATTTTTTGTTTAGCAAACATATTTATTATTTTATGTCAAATTCGAATTGGTGATGAATTGTTTCGGAGCGGACACGTCGAAATTTTTCTGGGAAATTTTTCCTGCCCCGCCAAAAAATTGTATAATATAATATAAAAATTAGATAAGAAAATATATAGAAATATATAAAAATATATAGAAATAATATAAAATAAAAAATAATATAAAAATATATAAAAAATATATAGAAATAATATAAAAATATATATAGAAATACATAAAATTATATATATAATCGCAAAATTATATATGAAATATGTGCATACATAATTAGGTTTAGGCATACATAAGTGCTTTTTATATATAATTATATAAATTTATTGTAAATATATATAATTTGACATGATTATATATGAACCCTTATAATTTATACAATTATGTATAAAAATGGACATATTTCACATATAATTTTATGATTATATGTATAATTATATAATTATTTATATATAATTATACAATATATAAAAAATTTTTTACCGGACGCGATATTCAGATTAACGTTGCGTAATCTCGTAAGATTGAGGTGATGCGTATCGGGTTGCGCCGATGTCAATTTATAAAATCAGTTTGCCGTTTGCGTATTTAGGATAATACCATAGCTTTGTAATGCCACCGTAATGTCGAGTTCGATGCGAATTTAATCTGTGTCGCGGGCGCTTTCGTGACACCCATCGTCGGCAACAATTGCATTGACATTCATAACTGGTCGCTGTCGATCCAATCCGAATTAGGAATTCACCAGGTGACCCGTGACACCCAGGCTACAACGATTGTTTCGATAGAACTGCTTCGACACCGGAAAATATCGGCACACCCATCGAACGAAATCATCGCAGTGTGCATTTTCGAACATTCACGCAAATGAGCGATTCGATTGTGGAAGCAATCATTTACGCGATAATAATATTTCCAAAGTGTTAGGAAGATTAAAGATTACAATTTTAATTGGTTCATTTTTTTCTCTGAATTTTATCATTTTTTTCTTGCAATTTTTAAATTGTTTTTTTTTTTCAGATTTTTTAATTTGTATATTTTTTTAATATGTAATAATTTTTTTCGCGTTTTATTATCTTTTTTGATACTCGTGCAAAAAGAATTTGTTTCTTATTATATATTAAGATGGAACTTTATGAGAAAAGTTCAAACATATTATATAATGCTAAAATAATATTTTTTTTGAAGATGCAATTCTTACACTGAAAAAATGATTAAATTAATAAATATTTATCTGTTTTGAAAAGAATTTTCTTATTCGAATTCAATATTTTTTTTTTTTTTTAGTATAAGATGAAATAATTCTGCTAAAGGGAGGTAATGAAATATAATAATTTTTTTATTATATGTTTTCATCTCAAATCAATATTATTAGTTTCCAATAATAAATGATTTATAAGACAGTATCGAAACAAATGTTTATTCGAATTCAATAATTTTTTTTCAGTATAAGATAAAATAAAAATTCTATTGCACGCTCAAATAAAGCTTTCCAGACAGATACATTAAAAATGGTTACACATTTTTCATAGAAGCGTTTTTAACACGTAACAACGTCACATTGCATCAAATCAATATTATTAGTTTCAAATAAATGATTTATAAGGCAGTATCGAAACAAATGTTTATTCAATAATTTTTTTTTTCAGTATAAGATAAAATAAAAATTCTATTATACGCTCTCAAATAAAGCTTTCCAGACAGATACATAAAAAATGGTTACACATTTTTCACAGAAGCATTTTTAACACGTAACGTCACATTACATCCACGTCGTCAAAATAAAAACGTCCTAGAATATTAATCAGCATTTTAAGATCTCTCTCGTATTTCATACGTTATTTAATAACGAACAAGCGAGTCTTACGTCATTTCTGATTCTAGCGTACATTCATCACATCTATCCGTAAGAAAATCGTTTCATTCGACATTCCACGTAGCGACAGATATTATCTGGTCGACGACGAGGACGACAAATCGAAATAACAACGACGCAATTTCACGGTGGAACGGCGTAGTGTCGAGGCGCGCGTCATATATCGTCCAAGGAATAATTACTGTAGCGGAAGGACTCTCTCGCGTAGAGACGTCTCTCGCGTCTGTCGAACGGACCGTTTGGAATTCCCGGATCGAGCGCGCAGGCGAAGCGTCCATTCTGCGGATGCCAAGGTAAACGTACACCGACGAAGGCCGAGTGAGGGTGCAAGTACACGAACGTGCACCCTCTCGACAATTCCTCGGGGGTGTAGTTTGCGGCGGGTCGAATGCACCGATCCGTAAAGTAATAAAGGAGTCGCGATATGCTGCGGAACACGCTGCGGAAAATGCACGCGCGCGCGATC